AAAAAAAAAAATAACAAAAGCAGAAAAATGTATAGCATAAACAAAACACTTTCTGTTTTTAACTTTTTTGCCACCCTCTATTAGCTTGAAACTCTATAAAGGCAGGACCAAATTTCACAAATAATAGTAACAGCAATAATTTAATAACACTTATTATGCATCAGATATGGTGCATATAAGAGGCAGCACCTTGGTAGTCAGCCTGCATAGTTTGAGATGCCAGGGCTGTAACTTACAAGCTATGTGACACTTGACCCTTTGAGGAAGTTACTTACATGCCTTAGTCACTTCATCTACAAAATAAGGATAAGGATCTAACTTTTAAGGTTGCTATAAAGATCCAAGTAACTAAAATGCAAGTAGGCTGTACCAAGAACCTAGTCAGATTCCTGCTTACTCTTCCTTAGCAGTCTAGGTTTTCTTTTTTCAGACACAGGGTCTCACTTTGTCACCCAGGCTGTAATACAGTGGCTCAATCATAGCCTTGGAACTCTTGGGCCCAAGCCATTCTCCCACATCAGCCTACCAAGTAGCAGGGACTCCAGGCATGTGCCACCACACCCAGCTAATTTTTAAATTTTTTTTGAGGTGAAGTCTCACTCTGATGCTCAGGCTGTTCTTGAACTTCCAGCCTCAAGCAATCCTCCCACCTCTGCCTCCCCAGGCCCTGCTAATTTTTGTATTTTTGTAGAGATGGGCTTTTACTATGTCGCCCAGGCTGTGTCTCAAACTCCTGGCCTCAAGTGAGTCTCCAGCACGGGCTTCCCAAAGGTATGAGCCACCTTGCCTGGTCCTTAGCACTCATTTTAGCAAAAACCAGTTAACAGTAATGAAAGTCAGTGTTTCTGTATCATGTACCAGAATTAAGTTATTTATTTTTGAGACAGAGTTTCACTATGTCGCCCTCAGTAGAGTGCTGTGGCATCACAGCTCACAGCAACCTCAAACTCTTGGCCTTAAGCAATTCTCTTGCCTCAGCCTCCCAAGCTGCTGTGACTACAGGTGCCGGCCACAAAGTCTGGCTATTTTTGTTGTTGTTGAAGTTGTCATTGTTATTTAGCAGGCCAGAGCTTGGTTTAAACCCACCTGCCTCAGTCTATGTGGCCAGCGCCCTAACCACTAAGTTAACCTCCTGAGGATTGACAGGATGGGGACACTAAAGCACAAAAGAAGGCAGGATCTGACCCCTGTCAGCTAGAGTTTTGTGTCCTTAACCTTCGGTTTTCAACTTCACACAGCTCCGTGGCAAGGAAAAGCATCACCCACTTTGCCCAGCTCGTCATAATAGCCCCCCTTATACCTCGGCGCGGTGGCGAAAACGTCGGGATGCAGCTCAGCCAGGCCCACTCGCTCCTGCTCGTAGCCCTTCAAGGACTCGACCCAGGCCTGCACTGGGCGCAGGTGAGCGGGTACCGGGAGCTCGCACTTGCGCAGGACAGGTGCCTGAAGAGCTGGAGCGATAGGGGAATGTCAAGGGTCAAAGCCAAGGGTTAGGGTTTCCTGCCGTCGCCACCCCTCTTAGGGTGACCCCGTTTGCCTCACCTGTCCTCGCCACCGGCTCTGACTTTGCCACTGGCTCTGGCTTCTCCGCCGCCCGCGGTGCCTCATCCGCCAGAGAGTTCACCGCCTGAAAGGTACGAACGAAAATGAGAAACGACCCTGGATCCCCAACATTCATTCTCCGACCCCGCCTCCAGTCCCTGGCCTCACCCTCAGCCGACAGCCGGTGGGCCAAAGCCAGGACCGCACCCCGACCCGGACTAACTGCAGCATAGCAGCACAGCCACTCACGCCGCCGGAGGTCACTTCTCCGGCCGCGCGCGGCGCCTCCAAGTGACGTCACGCATGCGACACCACCCGCCCCTTTGGGATTCCGCGCGGGAAAGCGGGGTAGGGCGTAAAGGCCTGTTCTAGCGTATCCCCGCTTCTGCTCCAGAACTAACCTTCAGACTCCAGTTTTCACTTCTAGCTTATGGACCCTCTGCTACACTTAGGAACGCAACTCCACCACCCGAAACCCTATCACCTGTAGGTTTCTCCCCCTTGCGTCCTGCCCCCAACGAGTGAGCGCAAAAACCCAGTCCATGACGGGACCCTGCTCAGCCAATGAACGTCTGGAAGAATGGCCCGCCCATGACTGGGCGGTTCTGGGGCGGGCACCGAAGGGAATACGGTCATTAAACGTAAAGGTTTTTTTTTTTTTTTGAGACAGAGCTTCAAGCTAGTCCCCTGGATAGAGTGCTGTGACATCACAGCTCACAGCAACCTCCAACTCCTGGTCTCAAGCGAGTCTCCTGCCTCTGCCTCCCAAGTAGTTGGGACCACTGGCGCCCGCCACAACGCCTGGCTATTTTTTTTGGTTGCAGGTCATTGTTGTTTGGTGGGCTCAGGCTGGATTCGAACTCTCCACCTTAGGGCATGTGGCTGGCGCCTTTGCCACTTGAGCCACAGGCGCCGAGCCAAACGTAAAGTTTTTGACGTCTGTCACACTTACCAGACCAGCTACACCCTCACTTGACCTCCAAGACTGGCAGAGGTGTTTTTTGTATCCAAATTTGTGGTTTTGTTTGTTTAAAGGCTGGGCCTTATCGCTCACAGAAAGCCCTCAGAATTGGGCTTGGCGGGCCGTGCCTTCCAACTTAGATCCCCAGGGTAGGGCTATGTCCTGAAACCCTTTAGATTAGGTCTGTGTGTCTCCAGTACCCTAGGCCAGGGTCTTGTCTGCTCTCAGTCTTTCCAGGGCTTTCCAAGGACAGAGCAAAATGAGGAGTCCACAGATCCTGGATTGCTTCCCTTGACTCCCCGAACCTAGAAATCCAAACGCTCCCATTTTCACCTCCAGGGGGCGTCACAACCTACAGTAGGCTTCCTTCCTTTTCTCTCTCCCTCCCTTCCTTTTCTTCCTTTCTTTTCTTTCTCTCTTTCCTCTTCTTTCTTGACAAGGTCTATGTTGCCCTAGGTAGAGTGCTATGGCGTCACAGCTCACAGCAACCTCTAACTCTTGGGCCCAAGAGATTCTCTTGCCTCAGCCTCCCAAGTACCTGGGACTAGCTGGCCATAACGCCAAGCTATTTTTTGTTGTTGTTGTTGCAGGTTTTTGGCCGGGGCCGAGTTTGAACCCCCCACCTCTGGTATATGGGGCTGGCACCCTACTCCTTGAGCCACAGGCGCCACCACCCGGCCATTGTTTTTTTGTTGTTGCAGTTGTCTTTTTTTTAGCTAACCCGGGCTGGGTTCAAACCCGCCAGCCTCAGAGTATGGCTGGAGCTCTACCCACTGAGCTACAGGCTCCGCCTTCTTCTTTTAATTTTTGAGGCCAAGTCTCCCATACCACTCAGGCCCAAATGCAGTGATGTCCTCATGGCTCACTGCAGCCTCCAACTTCCAGGCTCAAGTCATCCTCCTGTTTCACTTTCCTGAGTAGCTGGGACTACATATGCCTGGCTAAATTAAAAAAAATTTTTTTTAGTAGGGATGGCATCTCACTATTGCCTCGGCTGGTCTCTAACTCCTGGCCTCAATTGACCCATTCACCTCCACCTCTAAAGGGATAGGATTACAGCTCTGGCTTACAGTAACCTTTTCTACTTGGCCAGGGCTGTCCATTTGGAAGCCATTACAGTCTGGACCAAGCTCACCAGCCAATAATGTGGTATCTGAGCCAACCTTAGTTTCCTCATCTAGAAAATGGGAAAGTTATGAGATATCAATTGCATAATGGAGGCAAAGCATGCCATGCTTGGCACAAGATAGAAAGTCAATAGCTTTATTTATTTATTTGTTTGTTTGTTTATTTATTTTTGAGACAGTATCTTGCTCTGTTGCTTGGACTAGAGTGTAGTAGTGTCGTCATAGCTCACTGCAACCTCTAACTCCTGGGCTCAAGTGATCCTCCTGCCTCAGCTACCAGAGTAGTGGAGACTACAACCATGACCTCCAGCCCCCAGCCTAACCTTTTATTTTGTAGAATTTTATTTAGTCATTTTATGTTTTCATTGGTCATTGACACATCTGGTAAAGAAAATTTCAAAACTACAAAAGGATGACTAGAGTGAAAAGTCTATCTTCTCTGACCTCTGCCCCCTGCCCTGCAGGTTCCCTCCCAGAAGCCCCCCCTACAACCAGCTGTGTGTCTACAACCTGAACCAGTTTCTGATTTTTTTTTTTTTTTTTTTTTGGGAAACAGAGCCTCAAGCTGTCCCCCTGGGCAGAGCACTGTAGCATCACAGCTCACAGCAACCTCCAACTCCTGGGGTCCAAGCGATTCTCCTGTCTCCGCCTCCCAAGTAGCTGGGACCATAGGCGCCCGCCACAGCGCCCAGCTATTTTTTGGTTGTAGCCGTCTTTGTTGTTTGGCGGCCTGGGCTGGATTCGAACCACCACCTTAGGTGTATGTGGCTGGCGCCTTAGCCACTTGAGCCACAGGCATCAGCCCCAGTTTCTGATTTTACTAGCAGATTTGCACACCTGTCCTGTGCCAAGAAGTTTAGGTTTTAGGTATCAAATGATGGAACAGGACATAGTTGCTTAGTAACTTGTTAGGCATCTACTTTGTACCACTGGAACACTGGTAAATCCACCAGACACCATGGAGTTACTCACTGGCCAATGCAGAGGAAGGGCTGAAGGATCAGAACAGGACAGTAAAGTCTATAGGAGGAATTCGTAGCCATGGGGACAGAATCTGAGAGTGGTCTTCCAAAGCCATAACCTGAGAGCAAAGACTTGAATGTGTTTCAAGCTTCACAGCAGTTGTGAAGTCCAGGAGTGAGGAAAGAACGGCAGCAGCTGAAGCGATTGGACCTTTCTCACTGCCACATGGTTTCTTTGTTGGTTCATTTATTTAGACTGATCCCCTGAGCCTATCTCAGGGCCTTTGCATTGCTGTTCCTCCTGCCTGGAATATACTTTTCCCAGAGCTCCATATGGCTTGCTCCCTCACAGCCTTTAGTTCTTTGCTCAAAGATCAACTTCTCAGAGGATGCTGCTCAAACTACCCTATTTAAAATAGTAGTTTCTACTGGACTCAGTGGTCCCAGCTACTTGGGAGGTTGAGGTAAGAAGATTCCTTGACCAGGAGTTCAAAGCTGCTATGATCTATGATTGTATCACTGCATTCCAGCCTAGGTTACAGAGTGAGACTCTGTCAATAGCCAAGGTGGAGATTGCTAATTTATTTTATTTATTTTTATATTTTGTAGAGATGAGGTTTTGCTATGTTGCTCAGGCTTGTCTTGAACTCCTGGCCACAAGTGATTCTCCCTTCTCAACCTGCATGAGCCACTGCACACATAGCCCACTTTTTCTATTAATATTTATCTCCTAACATCCTATATAATTTCCTTGGGGGAGATTTGTAATACCTTTTATCTGTCTCTCTCCCATTAGAGTACAAATTTCCCCCAAGGCTTGAATTTTCTTGTTCTCTGATGTAGCCTCAGCATTCAGCATAATACCTGGACCACAGTAGGTGTTCAATAAATGTTTCCTGAATGGCCTCCTTCACTCAGCATCCTATTGCAGGGATATTACTGAAAACAGAGAAGGGTCTCCCTTTGCTTCCTGGGTCTTGAGGTCTCTATTCCTCTGTGGTCACTGGACACATGTGGTGCCCACAGATTATTTATTCAATACTACTGGAGTTGGATCCAGGCATAGCCACAAATTGGCTGGATGTCCTTGGGCAAGCAGTTAGCTCCTTCAGAGCTGTTGTCTTCTAATCTGTAAGTGATACACGGACAAACCCTCCCACATTGGCTGTATTGAAGATTGGAGTTCACCTTCATTCTATTCCCAATCCTCACTGCCTATTTCCCCTCACAGAAGTAGCTTGTAAACACTTCAGTCAGGTCATGTCCCTCCTCTGCTCAGAATGCTCCATGTCTCCCATTTCACTTACAGGCAAAGTCAAAGTCCTTCCATACCCCACAATCCCTGTATGCCCTCTGCTGCCATGACTCCATGGTTTCAGCCATATGGGACTCCTCACCAGAAACCACTGATCACATTCCAGCCTCTAGGCCTTTGCACTGGTCTTTCCCTCTTCTTGGACCACTTTCCCCAGAACATCTATATGTTTTACTTCCTTTAGGTCTTTGTTACCTTCTCAGGTGACACTGCATCTAAAATCCTCTTCTAGCCTTTTTTTTTTTTTAGACAGATTCTCACTCTATCCTCCAGGGTAGAGTGCCATGGCATCACAGCTCACAGCAACCTCAAACTGCTGGGCTCAAGCCATCTTCTTGCTCCAGCCTCCCAGGTAGCTGGGACTACGGGCACCCACCATAACACCTGGTTACTTTTAGAGAGTAGGTTTTGCTCTTGCTCAGGCTGGTCTTCACCTCCTGAGCTCAGACAATCCATCTATCTGTCTTGGCCTCTCAGAATGCTAGGATTACAGGCATAAACCACTTCACCTGGCCTTTCCTTTCCTTTTCTACCTCAGTTCAAACAGGGTTCCCTCACTAGCATATTGATTATGAGTCTTAATAAAAGGGAGGTAATGACCTGGAGATCTACACAACAAGAGGCTCAAAGTTTGACCATTTTGAGCCAAGCCTGGGTAAAGGTGAAAGGTTGCAACCAGCCCTTTCCTGTGGATCAAAGGCTCAACTGCAGGTGACCTCTGTCCTTGGAGTGTGTGGTCAGTGTCAGCGTTACAGCTTAGAGGGGGTCTTTGCTGGCCATGCATGTCACTGGAATTTAGGCAGCACACATCACATGCTAGAGGGTTCCTGACATCTGGCTTTTCCTAGCCCCCTACATCACAGCACAAGGGTTCTCACAAAGGCCAGGGGTCAGGGCTGGAATACTGGAGGGCAGCCCCCAGGTAGGAGGTACAGAGCAGGTGCCATTACAGGTTGGTCTAGCACAGTGGTTCTCAACCTTCCTAATGCTGTGATATATTTTCATTGTTACAAAGGGGTCGCGACCTATAGGTTGAGAACTGCTGGTAGCACAATAGGAGATGACACCTAACATGCTCCTCCCCCACTAACTTCCCAAACATCTGCTGCGTTTTTTGTTTTCAGCTCAGTTTGTGGGTAACCACCAAGCCCAGTGAGGAGGA